GAGCCAATATACCATAATCTACAAATATGGTAAGCATATGCATCAGCTTAAATTAAAAGGAGCTAAAAAACTTAAGATTTGGTGAGATCTGTCTAATATCTTGGGGCTGTTTTTAATAAAAGTATTCCACTTGCGCTTGCTAGATACGAGATGATTATAGCCAACGAGGCGCGTAGCACCGAGTTGGCTATCTATCATCTCATATCCAATGCGCGCTCGTGGAATAATTGCTAAACATAATGATCGCTCATTTTGATTCTGAACTACTGTATGCTCATTCAATTCTCCATATTTTAAGAAGGTGTACAATTATTAATTTGTTACTCAAATATATTCTTACCTGTTAAAAGTCATCTTGTAGGCTAATGTAACATATAACTTGGGCAGAACTCCATTCCAAATCTTAAGGCTTGCAAACATACCGTTCTGCAAAAGAGATTATAGAGGGGAATTATATAATGTGATTTTCTACTTTTGCCCATATGGCCCTGAGGTAAAAGTTGCTGAACATAACTGTAATTTCCCCTCCAGGTATCTACAATTTTGCTCTTGTCATTTGTTTATTTGCTGTATTTGTTTAAGCTTTGCCTCAGCCCTCATAGAAAGGAAGACTATATCAAAAACCCTGAGGATGAAAAATTCCTTCGTAAAACCAATCAGATGAGGAGAATACATGAAATACCAACAAGAGAAAATGGAACAACAGAGCTCAACCATTCATCTTCATCCAAGTTTGATGAGTCCTGGCCAAGTACAGAGCGAGCATTAGTGTCAACGCCAGAAGTAGAAATTGAAACCACAGACGCAAAGACTCCTTCCAGTGATGGAGGAATAGATTTTAAAAGGCATCTTCTTCCCAACTCCACTTTAGCCAGGTAGTATTTGTTGCTTGGGCATCTAGGCTGGATTTTCCAGCAGGAGTACAGTCTAATGTCTTATCTGTCCAAAGTATGGGTATTGTAAGTCGCCATTTGATGTAAAAAAAAAAATGACCCTTAGTGATTGCCCCCTTAACCCCTAAGAGTGCCTCGTATCTAAATTCCCAATACAATATCACCCTTGAATTAAAAGTGGAGGCGCAGTGGCCTCATGGTTGGTGTGCTCGACTCCAGATCGAGTGGTCCAGGTTCGAGCCCCGGCTGGGGACTTTGTGCTGTGTTCTTAGGCAAGACACTTTACTCTCACAGGGCCTCTCTTCACCCAGGTGTTTAAATGGGTACCGGCAAATTTAATGCTGGGGGTAACCCTGTGATGGACTAGCATCCCATCCAGGAGGGGGGGGGGGATAGAAAT